TGTTGCTGCTGCTCTGTTTCATGTTGCTGCTGCTCTGTTTCATGTTGTTGCTGCTCTGTTTCATGTTGCTGCTGCTCTGTTTCATGTTGCTGCCGATCTGTTTCATGTTGCTGTGTTCATCCATACTCATCTGTTCACACAGACTCATGTTGGTGCTGCTCTTCTGAGTATTTTTTTATACAACTAGTGCTTAGTTAACTTTTTTCTTAGTTCATACCTTAGATCTTATAACTGTTTATCTTTTACATTTTATACTTTTATTGGATGTAACTGGGACCCTGTGTACACAATTTCGTTCCACCACATGTATCACATGTACAAATAAAGAACCTTGAATCCTAAAGAGCTGCAGGTCACACTTTAGACCAGCGGATCCCAAATTTCAGCCTCTAAACCGCATAAAAAATATTGGAAACTCATTGAAATTCACTAAAAAGTCTCAATAATCGGGACTATAGTTTTCATACAAATGTTTTATTATTATCTATTATTGTTGATGTTCTTGTAGTTTCTTGCACCGATATATATATATAGATATGTGTGTTTTTCCCCTAAAAGATCATGTAAATCCCCCACACTTAATATTTTATGACCCACAGTGGGGTCTTATTTTTTACTTTAAGAACCACTTGTAAATGAATGTCCCTTGTTTCTAAAGACAGATAAGTTGGTAGAAAAAAACAAATATAGAAATAAGGCGAATAATATGACAAGTTTTTGTATAAATAATTTTAAACCAAATGTAGTTAACTGATGCCCTCTGACAAAAAATAAAGAAGGAAACTCTTCAGTCTGAAGATCATCTGCTTCTGTCAAACTGGTGACCTGACACATTTACATTGTTCTCATGATAAACCACTTGCAGACTCATATCTACATCAAAGAGCACTGTAACAACTTTAATTTATTCAAATAAAGTCACAAATTTTCTGACTCAAGTGGATTATTTTCATCATTAAAGCTGAGATGTGAATTTTTGTGTCATTCATTCAGGAGTTGGTGGTAAAAGACAAAACAACGCAGTTGCATATTAGATAATAATTTTTAAACATGTATAAAATATATTACTTGTTAAAACCCCACAAAGTAATTTAATCTAATTGTCTTTTTACTGACATGTTTTTTTTTTCCAAATGATGCTCCATGTTTTACTTTTTGTTTCACAGATTTTATTTCTACACAGCCTCAAACATCTGCAGATAATGAATGAGAACCACAGCATGACGTGCTCATTGTTGCTGGTGACTCACAGCTGCTCCGCATCACAAAGGAAACAAAGAGCTTTGATTCTGGTTGGAGGCTTTAAAGCGCTGCATTAGCTCAATTTAAACTCAAAAAGGGGCTAAAATGGGTTCTGTCTGTTCCAGATGAGTAAGATTTGAGTGAAAATGAGAAAATTAGCCTAAAAAATGTGATTGGGAGAAAGAAGAGCTGCAGTCCAAGGCCCGTCCTCTCGTGGAGACTAACACATTGCAGAGGAAGATGATGAGGAGGAGGAGGCGGCTTACCCATGACAGCAGCCGGAGGATGGTGCGGGGATGCGTGAAGAAGGCGACCGGATCGAAGCGGACGCTGCCCGCCTTCCTGGCGCCGTACGGGCCGGCTGCCTCCATCCCTCCGGGGGTTGTGCTGCCTGAGCGGCCGCTGAGAGATCGAGACAGGGCGGTGTGAGAGCAGCGCGGAGCGGCGGGGTCCTCCTCCAGCTTCCGTCACACAGAGCGTCATAGAGAGATCATCACTGAGAAATCATCTCTCAGAGATCATCATTGAGATCATCACTGAGAAATCATCCTTCAGAGATCCTCACTGAGAGCTGAGGGAACGCCACAGGCTGCAGCAGCAAACATCACCCTCTGTCAGTTTAAATTCAGTGTTGAGTCTGACCCACAGCATCCTGTTTGCACTCTTTCTTCGTTGGACTTTTTATTTTAAAGAAAAAGATAAAGAGCTAACTCAGTTTTCTGTTGGAGGTGAAACAATATCACATATAAGCAAAACATGTCTTGGTTTATCAATGTACCTGCACCAGTTTATCAACCCTAGAACTAGAGTTTACCATATAGAGAGAATTAAGCTGAGGTGTTTTGGTTATTTTAAAGTATTTAAAAACAGTGTGTTGAAAAATTTTTAATCTCATTTGGTAACCTTTCTGTTTTGTTGACTTACAATCTGGAATTTAAATTGATTTTTAATTGCAGGTAATCGTTCTTCAAAAGTACTGTAGCAATACACAGCTCAGTATTTAGTGTACTTGCGGATACTGATGCTTAAAGTGCATGCACCTGGTAGGGTACATATTGTAGATTTCATGTTTTGGCTGAAATTTCAATAAACTAGCATCAAACTGAGAACCAAGAGACTTAGACGTTTGGTATAAAAGGTAAGTGATTTTATTTACACAAGTGACGGTCAAGAAGCACAAGGGAGAGCTGCAGGAATATGGTGAGTATTGGTTCTTAGAGCTTTCTTCTTGTAAGGAACAATTTGAGAGGGTTGGTGTGTTTCTTTCTTTTGCAGGTGTGAAGAGTAGGCCGAGGGATTCCAGCATGGTGAAGTCAATGGTGGAGTACAGGTAAGTGGTAGGTTGAGGCTGAGTGGCAGATGTTGATTTGTAGTTTGTTGCACGGTTCGGTGGTGGATGGTTGGAGACACTGGGAGGTTCAGGGAGATGAATGACTTAGAGGGGAAATCAAAGGTCCAAGAAACTGGAGCTGTGAAGAGCACATGTTGCACAAAGATTAAATTCATTTTAGCAAAGATAACACAGGGGACTGGACTAAGTGACTGTGGGGTCTTGTTGATCCAAACAGCCTTAATTAGCAGCTCTCATGAGCTGAATGGAAACAGCTGTGGATGATTGGCTCTGCCCTGCCTCTCAGGAAGCTGTAAGAAAACAGTTAGACAGTGGAAAACTCCAGATTCCCCACAATAGGGAGATTACAATGTCAACTACAGGAACCAGTCTGTAATATGAAGTGTTTTGTTACCTTGTACTTACCAGTACTTGTACAATCAGATCAGTATCCAGTAAGTACATATCCTCTTTCTCCTGATGACACTGGACAGACTGACGCACGTCTTATTGGGCATTAAATTCTGGATGCTAATAAACTTTCCACAGCTTCACCAGTACAAAACACAGGTGTTCATCCTCACTTCAAAGGCTCAGTGAGAGAGTCCGGCCCCAACATTGAATCGCTGTGAATTAAAGACATCACACTCTCCTTGGTCTTCCAAAGAGTACAACAAATCAGCTCCAGCTGATTATGAATTCAGCAGCGAGACTGCTGACAAAGACCAGAGGGAGAGCTCACATTATGCCTGTTCTAAAGACCTCACACTGGCTGCTGATTAATTTTAGAACTGATTTTTAAATTATTTTATTGGTTTTAAAAGCCTTTCGATGTTGAGCACCAGACGAAGTCATGGCTCATCTGATTTTAGCTGTTCCACAGAGCAGAACAAGAACTTTTGGAGATTTTGCTTTTAGTAACTCCGTTCGAGAATGTGTAATGGTCTGCAAGAGGATCTGAGAGAATCCATAATTGGTCAAGTTTTTAATTATGATTTTATTGTTGTTGTTATAAAGCACTTTGAATTGCATTTGACTTTTATGGAAAGTGATATAGAAATCAAGCTTGATTGATTGACTGATGAAGTCACTTCATAACACAGCCGGACCACCTGTATCAGTTAAAGGTACTCATTGCAAAGTATAAAATCAAACATAAAAAATGTTTTATTGAATTATATCAAATGGAGCAAGTTAATGTTTATTGCAGCAATTTTTCAGATATACTGACATGTAGTTCTGAAATATGGGACGACAATCCATGAAAATTCGAACGTTTCAGTGTTTTGTGGAATAGTGTAACAATCCAAACATTTAGAACTTGAATCATATTCATTGTCTCTATTGCGTAACGTCTATTTCAGCTTAGATTGTTAGAGAAATCCATCTGAAGACTTTGCTCAACAAATATGAAAATAAATACAGTCACATTAACATTGTCAGGCTTCTACTTCCCATGTGGCTCTTCTGCTGTTGCCACTTTTGACCTGTTCTGTCACTGATTATTTCCGTAGTTAAACAAACGCACGTGGTAGTAGACATCTGGCCAAAATTTTGCTGAAAATTTTTAATTTAAGGACATGGAGATAGGAGAAAAATACTGCACAGATTTTGTTTTTAACTTTGTGGATTATTTTGGGCCAGTCTTCTGGAATGAGTTCTTTAAAGTACCAGGTACTACAGTAGGTACTTAGGCTGTATTATGTGTCACTGCTCGAAATACTTCAGAATATTTAAGTCTAATGGGACAATTTAGCTCTAAATAATTCTAACAAATATAAAACTCAAAGTTAGTGTGTGCATTTGTGTTGACCCCCTTTGTTAAGCACCAACCATTACGTTCAGAAACAATATAGTTACTGGTAGTTTAAAAAAGCCCCACCTGTGAGCAATCTACCATATTTTGTGGACTATAAGGCGCATTTAAAACCTTTAATTTTCTCAAAAATCGACAGTGAGCCTTATATCAAGTGCATCTTATGTATTAATTCTGGTTGTGCTTACTGACCTTGAACCGATTTTATGTGGTTATTGTGAAGGAGTTGAACAAAGTTTGACTTATGACTGTTTTGTTTCTCTTAATGCGCCTTATAATCTGGTGCACCTTATGTATGAAAACAGACCTGTTCACTGATATTGCACCTTATAGTCCGAAAAATACGGTATATGTGAAATGATTTATATTTGTTGTAACAGCCCATAGAACAACCGAGTAAGAGACAGCAGACGAACAAGGAACTCTCCGCAAATGTCAGAGAAACAGTTGTAAATAAGTACAGATCCCAGTTGGAGTATTAAAAAAATACAAACACTAAACATTCTATGAAGTAGTAATAAAGCCATCATTAGAAAATAGAACGATAGGGCACCACAGCAAACAGGCCAAAAGCCAGTCATTCACTGGAACACATGGACAAAGAGGTCATTAAACATCCTGGAGGTCAAAGAATCCTCTGATGGAGCTGCAGCTCTTGTAGAGATAGGACCATCCATTCTTAGGACCATTATAAGTTGCAAAACGTTATGCTTCATGGAAGAGAAGCCAGGAAAAGCACCTTTTTCACCATCAAGGACAACAACATGCCTGCTGCAAACCTACCGTAACATGCTGATAATACCACCCCCAACAGTGAAACACAGTGGTGGCAGCATCATGCTGTGGGTCTGGGAAATTGGACGTGATTATTTTTAAACCTTAGTGTACCTTTTTAGTCCTTTTCTTGGCAACTAAAACTAAAATGATGTACAGACAATAACAAAGACACGTGTTAAGCGGATACAAGGATTGTAGCAGTTGGAGTTTAAAAACTTTTATTTTATCGTATCGTGAAATATTAACGACAGCTTAGCTGAGTAGATAAAACCCGATCCATCGTTATAAATTAAAGACTAAAAGGTAAGAAACACAGACACACTCTGTACTCTTGGTTCTATCAAAGCTCATCTTTTTTTTCGTTGTGTTGTTTTGCTTCTTCGGCTTTTAGGGCTTCAATGTATTTCATTCTGTGTTCATCCTCCTGGAAACACAAAAATATGCAAGTCTATTTTTAATCAAAGAAATAAAGGACAACTCTCACAGTCATATATTATTAAAAATCCTCAGTGGCAGCTGATGGAAAAAGGTGTTTTACCTGAACTCTGTCTTTTTTAGCTTTTTCCATTTCTTTATCTACAAACTTAACTAAATCATTTAGTCTCCTTTTCCCTGTGTAAATCACCATCTAAGAGACACACAGAAGTCATGATTAACTTTATAAATCAAACCAATTCATGCAAGGCTGATGAAATATTCACATTACAAACATTACCCTCTCAGAGTACAGAGCAGGAAACAGACAGAGTGATGGGTAGGGCCCCTGCACCGACACGCTGATGTCGTTAGCTGAAGCGTCTATTCGAGCGACAACTACTTCCTGTCGATATTTGAAGGCCTCAGCCAGTTCCTCCCACAGAGGAAACAAATCACGAGACTTTTGACTGTAGGGAAGATCTAAGATACAAAATACACAACAATAAGCTACGAGTTGCAGCAAAGAGATAAACATCACAAATTATCTGCATGGTGTGTGTGGACTCCACAGTGTCCCGTTTTTTGTATATAAAATATAAAATTAAAACCATAACTATTAAAGACTAATAGGATTTTTTTAAAGACTTTTTTTAATACATTGTTCTTTAAATATACTTTAAAACTTTTTGAACAGGTTTATTGAACTCTTCATTCAAGTCAATTTGTATTTTTTCCCTGTAGTGACATTGTTAATCGCATTTGATCTTATCATAGTTCATCTTTGGAAGATAAGTGGTTGTGTGATGTTCAGCTGCTATAAAAATGTTCTGCAGAAGGTGATCTAAATCAAAAATCAATAAATATTTTGGCAGATAATACACTTTGGAAACTGAAATCTAACACGATTATGCTGTTCGTGTGTGAACTCATGTGCAGGCTGATGACAGGAGACTCCAAGGTAAAAGGAAGTAAATTAAATGTATTTAACAAACAAAAACAGAGTTGACAGTGCAGCCAAAAACTGACTTTAAGGAGAAGACAGGGGAGCAGAAACACATAGCCGTAGGAGGACAATGCCCGGACAAAGGAGGAGTGAAAAGACAGATTATGTACAGGACATCGATGAGACAGAATGAGAAACACCTGTAGTGACAACAATTAGACACAGGTGAGACAGGAGCTGAAAAAAAGAGGAAAATCACAGGAGAGTGCAGGAGAACTAACAAGACAGAAACCCCACAAAATCTGCTGGCTTAGATTGTTCAGATGTTTTGATGGGGGGCGGGTGCAGGATCTGTAGAAGTACAGGTATATATCATATTATGTATATATCCAGAGAGATTCAGAAAGATTTATTTGTCATACACAACACACTTGGTACATGAGGTGGGACAAAACTATATACGCAGGGTCCCAGTTACATGCAACAAAAATACAAATTGTTAAAAAAAAAAAAAAACATTAGTAAGATCCAAGTCATGAATGTGGGGGAGCCGTACCCTTAAGCCCCACGATGTGAAAAACTGCAAAGTAGGAATAGAAGTACAAGCAGTAAGTTGTA